TTGAAGAGAACATAAACTAGACTGAACAAGTTACGTCATCATCTGACTAGAGGGGTTAAAATAGGAAAAAAAACTACTTACAGTCATAATATCACCAGCATACATTGACAACGGATCGTTCTTCTTTTCACCTGTAAATTCCACATGTCGTAGTGAGAGTTAGTGTTGCCTTTCAAGGGAAGGGGATCATGGGACAAAAAGAAAAGAAAACAAAAATGTATTTAAGCAAGATCGAAAAGTAGTTTCATCAGTAAATGCAAAAGGTAAAAGAAGTGTACCAATTTTGTAAGCTGCTGATGGTGCAGCAGGAGAAATCAAAATATCGTTCTCATCTAATGCTGCCCTGAAGCTTTCCCTTACCAAAGTCCTGACCTGGAACAGAGTCACTCTTTAACATCTTGAAGAATTAAGATAAGCAAGAAATTATCGAACACTTGTAAATTGGGGTCATATAACTCGTTAAAATATGAATTATTGCTAGATGATGAGAGTAGCAAAAAGTCTACTAGATGCGTCAACCAAACGTAGTTGGTTCTAACTGCCATGTAGACACATGATCTAAACTCCACTTGACAAATATTTTGGATCCACAAATTCACGGTTAGAGACACAATGAATAACTAACATGAAGATTGTCTTGTGTAAGCATTTATTCAGAGATACAGAAGAGAATCATTAAAGTGATTGAATATTACTTAGTTCTGATTGGATTATATTAGTATCAATTATCTTTAGATGCATGAGTATATCAAGAAAGTGATTGCATTTTAAACTTTAATTGCTATGTGGAGTTGGACTATTCTGAGCACATAGATGTACAACCTGCTGGGCTCGCTTGTAATATGCATCATAATAACCAGCAGACAGAGCATATGTCCCCATTAGGATTCTCATTTTCACCTGTAAAGACATTTAATACATTTAGTCCAATAGTTCTTTTTGACTGTGTGTTGGCGGGCCAGCTTGCATGAAAAGATTACGAGAAAGAAAGGTAGGAGACCCCTTTTAGAAGTAACCACTACAGAACTACATCACACAGAAAAGTTCTTTTCCTTAGTACCTCAGCACCTAAGCCTCCGGCACGAGATTCCCCATAAAGGGAGTTCAACTCATCAGCAAAAACTTGTTTCCCATACCTGCATTTTTGACATCACATTATTCCTTGGGTCTTAATCAAAAAATTTGAGCAAACATTGACAGGTTTGTCATTACTAGTGTAAGGCAGTCTCCCCAATTACATCTTGTCTAAATTATGGTTGCGTATCCACGTATTTGAAATGGCAATGAATTCTTAGTTCTTGCGACTAGTATGGAGTAATTAAAGTAATATATCCGTTTGAACTCATCATGGGCACTCCTAACTACTTTCTATTCTCTTTAAATGGTAGAATTAACAAGAACGAACTTAGTTATCCTCCTTCAATTTGGCAACCAAAACTGAGGGTTAGGGCTGATGAAACCTAAGAAATATCAGAACTGAAGATCGTACTGCTGTTATGTACTTATATTATTTTTATAACGATAACAACATATTCATCAGCATAGAAGCTATGATGGTAGCCAAATTTACTATAGATCCAAAGATATCTATCCTCTCTATCGGTATGTTAATATTTTCTCCGAGGAATGGGAAGGAAAGGTGAGATGCAAATAATATTCTCCACCGCACTATTTAAGAATTTTATACATACATAGATTTTAAGAATGATTCTATACCCCATTACCTGACACCATCATAACGGGACAAATTTGAAGAAGATTCAGATGAAGCAAGGATATAGTAAGCTGGCAATCCAAGAGAGAAGGATGGCAAAGAGACCTGCAAAAACAAAATTACCAAATAATTCAAATAAGGAATGCTAATGCATATGGTAGGCCAATGTGAGGGTCATAAATGCTAAAAATGAAGAATACCTCGGTGACAGTGCATCCGAGTTCTTCAAGATGACTTGCAGCACCACGGATTGAAGAAATTACGTCCGGGTCAACTCCATCTTCAATGGTGTCCCGGATCAGACCAACTCTCAGTCCTTTCAGAGGTTTAGAGTCCAAATGATCTCTTGCAGTAAATTGGGAAGCAAAATCGGGAACTTCCTGAAAAGTACAGTTATCAAATAATTAAGCACAGCCTATAAATATACACCACTAGCAGGCTATATAAACAATATTGTGCTTCGTAACAGAAAATTCTTATCGGACTTGAACTGGATCATATTACGCTACTACCCCAGCTACTTGTTTTTCAAAATGGTAAGCATTATCAATGTCAAAAGCCATCACTAAGAAAGTTCTGTCATTACGTCCAAAAACTAAGCAAAACAGAACCTGAAAATGAAGACTCTGACCATATAATAGTAAAGTTCCAAAGGACCGTAACAGGGTTTCACTATCATCTATCTGTTCTAATTTACACCAATAAGAGATCAGCAGGTATGGTACTGCCCAGCCACTCGTTAATAACATATAGTTAACTCCCTCAGGCATTGTATGACAAACTTCTTCGTATTCATTACAAAATAGCAGATCAACTGTGTCGAAATGGATATTCTCTTCCTCTTTCTCAAATAGAAAAAAAAATCTAGGAGGAGTCATGAAGTATAGCAAGCAAAGAGCTTGTATAGACTAACAATAGAACTTAGAAGAATGTCATTGTTAGTAAATATTGCAAAAACAAGTTTAGAAACCAAAATCTGTTAGATCTCCTTATAAAGTTACAGAAGAAGGTTACTTGACTGGGAAATTTACAGAGATGGGTTCTTGTCTGAAGAAATTCAGGAGGCGAAGTTGATTGAACACAGGAGGATTCTCAGATACATTAATGGATTGTTCTCTAGTACGTCATGTTATAAGATGTGGAAGACCATTGTCCATTGCATTGCATGGAGAGTTAGCTAGAAAGGAGTAGAAGATGTTTCAATGGAAAAAGGGACTCTCTATTATTACTACACCGTCTCGATTTATCCAGGCACAAGATTAAAAAAAAAAACATTTTTTTCAGGAAGTTATAGATTTTATGCAACTATAAATTATCTTTTATTACTTGTATAAAATATAGATGCATTCAGTTAGTGCTTTGGTTTAAAGAATGTTTTGTTAACTAGTCTGATATGCTATGGGCTTGTTTGACTCCCTTGTGTGGTAAGCTTGAACAAGTCCATTATTTTGTATTGGCTTTAGTACTTTCTTGGAGCTTGCTGAATAATTCACGACCCTTATCAGAAAGAAAAAAAACATTATAGAAAGCTTACTTTTTTGCTACTTGTTGCGTCAAACTTGTCATGACCAGAAATTGCATGAAGGAGAATGGCTGCATCAGTAACTGATGAACCAAAACAACCGATAACATCTAGAGATGAAGCATATGCCACAAGCCCATATCTGGAGACACGCCCATATGTTGGCTTTAGACCAACAACACCACAGAAAGATGCTGGTTGTCTTACACTTCCACCAGTATCACTTCCCAATGACACCATACATTGTCTAGCAGAAACAGCTGCAGCTGAGCCCCCTGATGAACCACCTGGTACCCGGGACAAATCCCAAGGATTAGCTGTCACCTAATAATACCAAGATGCATCACCTGAGTAAACCATGTTAAGTTACAAACTGGACTCATTCAAACAGATTCTTTAACTACATTCACACCATACACTACCTGAGATTATGAAACTCAACCTACTCAATATTCAACATAGTAGAGCATTCACTCTATCCCTTCTAATGCATTCACCTAGATATATTCAATTCAGAACCCCCAAATAAATGAGTCGATGAGATAAAGATGCAAACTTTAACCACATTAAAGTACCAAAACAAAGAAAATATCCTACATATCTAGTCCATGAACTAAACAACCCTCAATTCATTTCAACAATATCATTTCCTCATTCTGCTTTAAACAAAAAAAAAAAACCATTTCTTCAGTAAATAACAATTCTGGAACACGAAAAACTTAACGAATACCTGATAACCCGAGCCTTCCGTAGTACTCCCCATACCAAATTCATCCATATTCGTTTTCCCAATAACAATTGCACCACACTTTTTCATCTTCCCAACAGCAGTAGCATCAAAAGGGGGTCGATAATTTTCCAAAATCTTTGACCCTGCAGTTGATGGCATATCAGAAGTACAAATATTATCCTTAACCCCAACCAAAACCCCAGCAAGCGGACCCAATTCCTCATTCTCCGCAATCTTCCTATCAATCTCCTCAGCTTCCTTCAATACGACATCGGAAACATACAGAAAGCTCTTGAGTTGGGGTTCAGTATTGCGTAACCGGTTCAAAAAAGTTCCGGCGAGATCAACGGCTGAGATTTCACGGGATAAAAGGGATTTGCGGATTGTGAGGATTTGAGAATGTGGGGGTGGTGGGGTAGTGGTGGGGTGGGTGTGGAGGCATTTGAGAGTGAAGGATTGAAAACGGAGAAGACGAGGAGTTTGTACTGAAGATAGCATTTTTCCAGTGTGCTAATGGTGAGTGAAGAAGATTGACATTTTTACAGGGTTTATCCATTTAAGGGGTTGTTTGGTCGATAGATATCGAATTATCATATTGAAAAATCAAATTAATTTTTTTACATTTCTATTTCGATTATCGAATATGCATATGGTATTTGATATGTAATTTTTTTTTGAAAAATAGTATACATAAAGGTTTTCGAGATTTTCAATAGAAAGCAAGATCAAGCTGAGCTACTAGTAGAATAAAACCTTCTAACGTGACAGAATCAAAATTTTCATCGAAAAGAAAAGAAAGTGAGAAGATATAGTTGTATACTTGTATTTATTATGCATACACTTTGCACTTATAGTTACTAACAAATATATAAACTAATATTAATACAAACTAATTGCTGAGACATTGCAATTTTGACTATTTATTCAATTGATTTTTTTTTTAATGTTCATATACATATAAGGTGTTAGTATGATATAATTGAGACGTTTCTTGAAAAGTTAAGATCATATCTCTATTGTATGAGTATAATATGTAAGTTAAAGTCGAATAAATTATGGTTACCAATTTACGTGTCGCGGAAAACTTAAACTGAATGTAAAAAATCAAACCATATGGAATGGTATAGTATTAATAGCTCAACTATTTGATGTCTTCCAAATCAGAGAACTTAGGAAGAATTTCTACATTGCACTATTTGTCAAAGAGTTTCTGCAATTTCTATTTTGCAGAGCAAGGGTGGCGTGGCGCCTCAACTAGTTGCTCGCGTATTTTTGGTGAGATAGAACAGCTTCTACCAGGCCAATGTTTTCGACAAACATGGAAATGAAACAACACAGGATCATGGCGCTCCTTCAGAGTATCCATTCGATGTCTTGTCTCCACTTCTGAAACTGAAAAAAGAGTGGTTCAAATGTCAAGAGAACTCGAAGAGAGTAGAAACTATATCAGATTGGAAGAACAGCAGAAGATAGATGCAGATTTGGATCCTAGCACAAACCAGCACTCAAGTGTGTGGCGTAGTGGTCACTGAAGTGGTATGAGAACCATGGAAGACTAGGGAAAACCCACGAGTCATCTGCCTAATCTCGATGGAATAGTCAAGGTGTGTTACCATGAGCAGGTGCTTACTTTGCAAACATAATAGGTTGGATGCTAACCACTCCGCCTGAATCTGCTAACCAACTGCCGTCATGTTAGAAGCTGAAAGAAAACATCAAGAAGAAGGCTGGAATCTGGCATTAACCCCCTCATGCTCTTAAGCAGACAGTACGTATAAAGAAGTCTCAGAAGGGGTGGAAAGTAATGTTATTCACATCTTGAAATACCTTCTTATTTCTTGTGTAACTTTTGGAGTCCGCAGGATAGGAGCGTAGATACTTAAAGAAACGGTGGATAAACTAACAGTTCTATAGTCGTGACATGTTACACCTTGTATATAGGAGAATTTATTCCCTTATAGCTACCACTGATATTTAGACTACTTATCAAAGAGAATATGAAGCAGAAAGGAGGTTTCCTTTACCTTCAAGACGAGATCCAAGATGACATTGCCACCATTGGAAACATCAAAAACAAGCCATAGTTCACCCAGCTATCAAGACCTTCAACCTTGTTCATCTTACCATGCATAGAAATCCAAAAATTCGTGAAAGGACAGGAATCTTGTGGATCCTGAAACATCATTCCTAATCAAACTTTGTTTTCTTCTAGATGGGGTTGGCAATAGCATAATTAAGTTTCCAAAGAGCTTAAAAAGAGGCGGCAATTAAAACTGACCTCAACATTTGAGTCACTGGTTGGATACTGAACATCTGAACTTGCAAATGTTCGTCGTAAGTCTTGCCTGGACTGCTGAAGAGGCATCTCTAATGTGGACTTCTTGGAGTCTTTGCCAGCGAATGCTTTATATGCAGAATCAGTGTGTATCGTCTCCATGACTGAACCAAAAAAGTTTGTCACGGGTACCTATCGGTGACAGAGTAAATATGTTCGAAGGTGCATCAGTTCAGAGTACCAAGATCAAATTCCCTTCCCTAATATGTGACAAAAACAAAGTAAGGTAATTGTTTTCCAGAAGTAATCATCTAAACTAAAGCAGCTCACCAAAATTTGTTAGCCTCCATCTATCGTTACAATTTTGAACATAAAAAGGGAACAAGGATATGTAAAATTTTGAGGTACTTGCCCCTTTTTACCTTGAGCACCTTTTTTAATACTTCTCTACATACTAAAGCAAGTTTTCTAACACCAATTAACCCTCATGGTAATTGACTAAAGAAATAAAGAGCACAGCATTTAGATGAAGAGGAGGTTTGTATCAGACTAACTTATTTATAACTGAAGCTGGAAATTTCCTCAACTATTACTAATTCATCATGCAAGTTAACACCTTAAACTTAAAAAGAGAAGTTTAAGGTGTTAACTTCTTACCCAATCAACTATACATCAGATGGACCAATTAAGTGCAGCTTTTCCCTACGTCTAGTTTATCCTATCTCCACCAAGTCATTTACTTTTCTCTTTCTTCTTTTCCGTTGAGTTTTCTTTCCATTTGTTTCCTTTTCTTCGGGGGAGGGAGAGCAAAGTTTAATGGCATAAAAACAAACATAAAATAATTTTAACTATGTACCTCTTCTAGTCGGCGAGGGTATAGATCTGTTCGATAATATGCAGTCGACATCAGCGTATTTGGGTTATATGAACTGAAAAGACTGCGACAGGAAAAAGAGAAAGGAGATTCTATCAAAAAGAGTGCACATTGTCAAACAGACATAGCTTAGAACAACAACCAAAACACATATCATCTCCTGAATAAGAGAAGGCCAACTGGCCAAGAGGGGAAAAAGAGGGCGATAGGCATGCAGAAGTTTTAGAATCCACAAGGCATAGTCTAATGCAATAGCAGGGATTACCAGTATTCAAGTACTCAATGACAGCTATCCTTTTTAAACTAGAGTATTCTGCATCTACTGTTGTTCTGACTATGCTATAGAGTCCATATGTCATGTATGAATTGAGCAGGTAGGTTATCGAAGACATGAACCAGGCAAATCAATTATCATCTGAATAATCCTTTATAACACAGTAGCCTTTTTACGGTTTGCATAAAAAGCTTCAATAATCCAAGTAGCATTTCTAAGTGTAAGGTAATTTCCACAACCAACCTAATAAGGTACATACTTGATATGGATATCTAAATTTCTTGAATGAGACTCCCCCCACATGATTTTCGGACTCTTCCCACTTGCTTTTTTAGAAAACCGTGTGGGTCAGGCCACAGTCAGTCCCTTGAACAGACAGATATTCATCCTTCAAACTTTTCTGAATCATCCACGATTCTCAATTAAAGGACCATATTCTGCATGTTTATTATCACAGTGATACTCATAACTGATCCATGGCCATTCCAAAACCATTACTGTTTCTTCTTTGGTTTTCATCTTTAAAAAAAATACCCTCTTTCTCGGTTACCTTTCTATGCAACTGGATGACTCTCCCTTTGACAATGAAGCAACTCATGCTACGAAGTTACACGTGGTGAAAAGTAGGGCTGGTGTGAGTATGCAGCCTATTCTCCAGACAGGAATAATCCAGCTGTTTGAAGCATATATACAGAGTTTTGCACTTGTACAGCCATAATTACAGTAACAAATTTAAAGCAAACAAGTAGTGGATGATTGGAATTTGATGTCAGTAGTGATACAATATATAATTCTCAAGAGAAGTGACATACATTCTACAATATCAAGAAAAGCACCCAGTATTACACCTACATCTATTAAATGCAATTACCTGCCCAATGAGGCATTATCATACATGTTCACCCTCTCAAAAAATGCAAGAGTATAAAATGTGAATCGATCAATAACTGAGACACCAACCTGTACCAGAGAAGGGAAGGAGGATGAAAAACCACACAATTTTTTAATACAAGGAGAACATATTTGTCTCCCTTGTGAACACAATAAGCATTTTAAATGAGGCATTTTCATTAAGTTAACACTTACATCAGCATCCAAGTGGTGCGAGTATGAATTTTCTCCTTTCATGCTACTCCCAATTGTCAATACGCCAGGTGATTGAAGCTACAAGGCAAAATATATTTCAGTTCTACCAAAATCCAACTAAGAACATATCATGGACTGAGTGGCCCCGATTTAAAAAGATGTCCTAACCAGTAACCCCTTTTTGTGAGGGATAAAAAGGAAGGCATCCCATAAAGAGTAGAAATGTCAAAGAACAAAATGAGTTTTCAGATGGTTATAAAGGTACTGAGAAAATTATAGAGTAACGCATAGATTTTGAAAGTTCCCAATCTATAAGCTTAATCCAAAATATAGCTAAAAGCTGGTATTTCCTCATTAACACTGTATCAAGTCCAAAGAGCCAGCTGTCATCAAACATAATCTATTGTATATATATAAAGGAAAGCATGCAACTCTGACTTAATTACTACAGATGTCTCTCAAGAACCCAACCATGCAACTCTGATCGCAAAAGCATTGAAATATTGACATTTCTCAGAAATTTTTGGACATGTCTGATAGATATTATGTCCCACATGGTTGGCAAATAGAATCTAAATTCTGCCAGCTACTGATTGTTTTCAGAAACTTATAAACATTTCATTATTCTATGATATTTTAGCAGATTGAGGAGCAAAAATTATTCAGAATTTCTAGCCCAGTCATGAATAGTGATCCTCTCTGTGTATTAATTTGCAATAAAATGATGAATGAAGCACACCTTCAACTGAGTTTTGTTGCATCAAGGACGGTCTTCGAAAAGATTTATCTTTACCATCCTTAAGTCATGCCATGCAAATATATTGCAAGTGAAAATAGGCATTCCTAAATCCTAACCATTACTCTTGAGAAGTTAAAATATATGGCATTATGAAGGATAGAGGCGGCGAACATTTAAAATTACCTAGAGATACTTGCAGATAAATTAAATAACAAAAGGAAAGTAAAGATTGATTCAAAAGGAGCCCAAGCAACATAAAACCAGAATTAGTTTCTTTAGATAATTCAAGAATGATAGGAGAATGGACCAACATTGGTACGTCACATTGAATACTTCCTATGGTAATTGATATGGACTAACTATTTTGGGATGCTGCAAGAATATGAATTAGCTATATGTCATTCGACATTTTGTTAGAACAATATGATATTAACGATAAAAAGGCAAAAGTCACCTGCGAGAAAAGAGTAGCAGCTTGGCAAGTGTCAACCATTATTAGCAGCTCCTTGAATCTGAAATTGAACAATGGAGACGTGACAAAGCATCATTGCAGAGGACCGGCAAACAAACTACCCATCAGTATGATATAATCAACAAGGAGTCATGTGCATAAATGCCAGAACACCAAACAGAGTGCTAAGATTCATAGCAGATATCCAGACAAATTAGATGATTCCTAAGCCAATGTTGCATCATAAACAATTGTTTAACAAGACAACATTAACATGCAATGGAAAATCAAGGAAAAATTTTTTACCTACGCTTTTCTTTCATTTGTTTCACTGCATCAGCTAAATCATGACTTTGAAGTTCTTCTGAATCCTGAAATTTTAGAAACTCGTCTCCGCCATGCCCTGTCATGTACAGAAGTATGTGGCTTCCTTCATCACTAAGAAGACGTTTTGATCTTGGGACAGCTGTTTCATGACGTCCAGTCAGCACCCTCAGAAAATTTTCAACTGTTACTTCATAGCCTCGATAATCTACCTGATGTTTAGAAACTTGTACGATTAGACCACTACATTAAGTAGGTAAAACAACCTTAATTCTGTGAAACTCATATGCAAACCAGTCTGAAGAGGACATTT